CCATGTGTTGTCATGGGTTTCCTCCAGGTGCTCTGGTTTCCTCCCTTTCCCCCATAGTTCAAAAACATACTGGCAGATTAAATGGCTTCTGGGAAAAAAAAACTAGTCCTGTTTGTGTCTGTATGTCTGCCTTGTGATGCACTGGCATCTCATTCAGGGTGTACCTTATTTTACATTGGTTCCTTGAGAAATCACATCTGCTTTGTGATAAAAGCTTTTTGGCTCTGCAGACATTTTTCTTACAAATCTGCAAAGGCAGTAACCCAATGTTGTTGATTAAGAAAGAACGGGAAATGAATCCTCCAGTTTAATCTGTAGGTCTTACTTTTGTCAGCTGACACGTGTGATTTTGAATCTGGTCAATGTGGATGGTGGATTGCTGAGACAGTGGAACAAGCTAATTGGTCTTGGGTTAAAGCTGGGGGTATCTCTGTGAATGAGAGTGCACCCATTCAGGATCACAGCCTCCGCTCCTCAGAAGGTAAGTAAAAAAAGTCTTAAGTCTTGCTTGTTTCTGAATATTAAAGCTGTTTTACTTTGCTTTACATTGGGATGTGCGTTTTCAGATGACGTTTTGCTTTCTGAAAACTCCACAATAAAGACATTCTGTTTTCAAATGACTTTTCATTGCATTTTGAGTTATTTTTCACTGAACACCTAGGTGGGAGGATATTATGTTATAGGTTAGTTGCATGTTTAGTCATTATTGTTTGATCAAATACACTTTTTACTAGTAATGTGTTTATCCTCTTTTAGCAGCATGAAGTGTTTCACTTTCTCCATGGAAGTGAAAGGTAGTGTTCTGCACTTCGATAGAACATTACAAATATATCAATGACAATCTTTATAACTAAATATATTATTACATTATTAGAAGAATGTCATCAATGTAAAGTGAAAATGGCTTTTTGACATTTCCAGTTTAATTATTCCCTACTGTATGATCTATATACTGTAAACTAAAAAGACTCTTAAAACAAGGAAGAATTTTTTGAATACTCTGTGAAGAATAATAATTATCTTTCAACATTTATCACAATATTATCTTTATTCATTAAAGCATACTTAAGAAAAACTAATTACTTAAAGCACAGGTACAAAATTCAGTTGCTAAAGAACTGATTCTTTGACTGGCCTGTGGTCTTTTTCATTAGTAGGACAATACATTTGGCCAGGTGTGTTTACTTCAGTTGCTCTTCAGGCTGAAGCATTTGTAATGAATATGGAGCCACAATTGAAATCAAAATAAATGAGAGGTAACCCATTTGGTTCAATTTGGTTTCTAGTAGTTAATTGATCTGTGGGTATCATTTAGCAATTTCTTGATAGAAAGCTTCTATTTTTTGTGCATCAACTTTGATAATATGGCCTATAAACAGATTCCCACTCACTTTGTGTAAAAAACAATCTCCTCCTCTCTGTTCTAAATTGACTTTTACATAATCTCTGCTTGTGTCAATTGCTTCATGTTTCACTGCTGATTTTGTTAATGTTTTGAAACATCATTAAAGCAATTTTTTTTCAAGTCTAGAAAAGTTTTGTTGTTTTACAGTATCAGAACATTACTTAAAGCTCTGGAATGTACCTGTTTTCTCTTCTAATGGCCTATTCCAGAGCAGCAATACCTTTTTAATGTTGTGACCTAGATTTTACACATCTTACTAATGCACTGTATAATTTT